TGTGGGCAAACTCGGCAGCCAATTTGCACCCAGCAATGTCCCACAAAAGTTGTGAAGTGAAAAGTTATTAAGTGAATGACTAATTTTATTTTGAGGATTTGTTGGCTAGAGTGCTACCAACTGATCCAGGCTGACACCGAATCATCAGAGCAAGTCTTAAAGAATGCACATATAATATGAAATGTAAATATCTTTAATAGAAAAATTATGTAAATCCACCACTCGATTCATATATTGTAAAAATAAAACAATCCATTTTGATAGATTTAAATTTAAACCACAGAATATTTTACTTACACATTAAAAAATGCAATCTTAATTTTGTAGAGTTTTTTTCAAAGTACATACGCTATGTAAATACTGAAAATATTGTTCTGGTTGATATCAAGGATATACCTGGCATTAAAATCGTATCAAATGCTTATCACAATATAAAAATCACTCAAATTATGTTTTAATTAACAAATGACAGTCTCCCTCATGCTTTCAAAAGCAATCATCTCAATGCTAGAAGGAAACAATGTTTTAAAAGTACATAACTACATCAATTTAAACCTGCTCTGTTGAAATGTATAACTTATATTGGGTATTAATAAACAATGTATATGTAAATAGACTTGCTTTCTAAAGCACACCAATTTGATCACTGCATTAACCAATATACAAAGTATCTTCAAATTCACTACAAGCATCAAATTCTATTTTTCAAGAAAAATTCAAACTGAGCTACTTATTGATTCGTATTACCGCCATGAATTTCAGCTCTGGTTCAAAACCTCATCCGTCCATGTCTCAATCGACATCTGAATAGTTTGACTTTTTTCAAAATGTTTGGACCCAAAGCTACCCGTGGCAGTCAGCAGCTGTTACATCTATTTGTCAAAATATTTACCAATATCAATTACAAAACAGACAAATATCACATTAATGAGAATTTTCACATTTCAAAGTTAATTTTTATATTTCCAGGCCACTAAACCCCATCGAAAAGAGAAAATGAACATAGCAAATGCACCTTTTGTTCGTATTTAATAGATTACCCATTTAAAACCATAAATCAGGGTGAGAGTTCTCATTTTTCTTCAATAAAACTTCCATTTACATGTAAACATTAAAATGTAATACGCTTCCCAAGAAAGTGCAATCTGTAGTTCAGGAACAAGTAACTGATAGAATCTCACTGACAGCAAACACTCAGTCGAGCTTAACCACACATATTACACACCCTTCCCCAACAAACAAGTAAAAATTAAAATGTACAATGTTTTCTCAGCAAATAGGTGGACAAATTCCCTTCAGAATATGTCTATTCAATGAGCTGCTGATACAAACGAACAGGATCAAAAATAACAAGGGAGGACTTATATTAAGTAATTTTAAGCGACTAAACTTACCCATTTCTAGAGATTTCTTCAACTAGCGTACTAAACAAAGCCAGACTGGAAAACTGTAGGTTTCAAACCTGGTCTGTGCTTAGTTATCTGATCTCAGCCAGATACCCCTCTTAATCTATTGGCCTTGATCTCACCCAGCAGCCTCTTGTGCTTTGTGCCAATAGATTAAAATAGGGGAAATCAGACACGGTCTCTATTCGTTTTCACTATTTCACTATATAGATCTATTCGTTTAGATCTCTGTATTAGGAGATCTCCACTAGAACATCCCAGTGTGTGGGATCAAAGATGCATCCACTGCAGTTGAATCGTTCACACTCATTGCCAAGCTTATACTCAATTATGAACACTTGGACAATGCATACACCACCTGTGGAATTACAACAACTTGCACTTATTATAGCATATCAGAGCGCTTAACAGTGGCTGAGCCTGACTCCGAGCCGGGTTGGGGTCAGGTGACCATAAGCACGATCGATAAGGAAGGTTTTCATACAGGACTTGAAAAGGGAGAGGGGGCAAGGCAGAAGGATTGAGGGAGAGTGTTCCACAGTTTCAGGGCGTAGTGGCTGAAACCGCTACCTACAATGTGGAGCGGAGGGTGCGAGGGACGAGCAGGAGGCACTGGGTGGTGAATAGGGAGTGAGGAGGTCGGAGAGATAGGGAGGTGCCATGGAGTGAACGGATTTGAAAACAAGTGTGAGGATCTTGAAATTGATCCGTTCAGTGAAGGGGTGCCAGTGGAGATACAGAGTTTGGTCCGATTCCAGGTAAGCATGAATTATACCCCATTAGAAGGAAAAAAAAAATCAGAAAAATCAAAATTAGGGGAGGCGAGAAAAGTGGGAAGGAGGGCTTCAGGTTTCTAAACCTCTGGAGCAGATGGGACCTGTACACGAGGGATGGGTACACCTGAGCAGGACTGGGACCAATGTTATTGCAACAAAGACAACAAATGCTGCGGAGAAGCGTTTAAACCAGAGCTGAAGAATTTATGGATTGAACTTTTCAGGAGGTGGTCACTCCACAGCCACAGAGAGTTCAGGAGGTGGTCACCCCAGCTAAACAGAGAGCTCAGAAGAAGGGTGAGTGGGTGACCATCCGACATGGAACAAAAAAAGAGCAGGCAGTAGGTGAGCAGCTAGATAACAGTGATCACAATATTATTAGGTTTAGCATAGTTATGGAAAAGGACAACAATCAATCAAGGGTAAAGACCCTCAGTTGGAAGCAGGTTAATTTCAGTGAGCTAAAAAGGGACCTGGTCAAGATAGACTGGAAAGGTTGACAGGTAAGACAGCAAATGAACAATGGGAAGCCTTCAAGGAGGAGATAGTTCGGAAACAGAGCAAATACATTCCCACAAAGGAGAAAGGTAGGACGGTCAAACCTCCCTGGATGACTAAGGAAATTGGGAATAAAACAGAAAAAGGAGGCTTATGACAAATGTCAGGTCCAAAACACACAGGATAATCAATTAGAATATAGGAAGTACAGAGAAGAAATGAAAAGGGAAACAAGAGGGGTGAAGAGATTGTATGAGAAAAGATTAGCATGAAACATAAAAGGGAACCCTAAGATATTTTATAAGCATATCAAGAGTAAAAGGTTAGTCAAAGATAGGGTGGGTCCAATTAGGGACCCTAGTCAAAATCTCCTTGTTGAGGCAGAGGACATGGCTGATGTACTAATTAAGTATTTTGCAACTCTCTTCACAAGACTATGCAACCAATGCCACAATATCGCAGACGTGTGAACAGAAATTGAATATGATAAAAATCAACGGGGAGGAGGTACTAAAAAGGCTCTCAGTGCTCAACATAGATAAGTCACCTGGTCCAGACAGGATGCAACCTAGGTTACCGAGGGAAGCAAGGGTGGAAATAGCGGAGGCTCTGGCTACAATCTTTCAATCCTCTTTGGTAGGAGTGGTACCAGAGGACTGGAAGGTTGCAAATGTTATTCCCCTGCACAAAAAGGGGCAGAAGGATAAACCTGAGAACTACAGGCCAATCAGCCTAACATTAATAGTAGGGAAACTTCTGAAGACTAATCTGGGACAATATAAATTCTCACTTCGAAAAATATAGTTTAATAAACAACAGTCAACAAGGATTTGTTAAAGGCAGATCATGTCTGACAAACCTAACTGAATTTTTTGATGAAGTGACAGAGGGTGGATGAAGGTAGTGCAGTAGACGTAGTTTATCTAGATTTTCCAAAGGTATTTAACAATGTGCCACATAAGACTTATAAGCAAAATAGAAGCCCATGTTATTAAAGGGACTGTGGCAACATGGATCCAGAACTCGCTAGGAGACAGAAAGCAGAGAGTGGTAGTAAAGGTTGCTTTTCTGACTGGCGGGAGGTGTGTAGTAGTGTCCCTCAGGTATTGGGACAACTGCTCTTTCTGATCTATATTAATGATCTGGACCTGGATATAGGGAGCACAATTTCCAAATCTGCAGACGATACTAAGCTATGAAAAGTAGTTAATGGTGAGGAGGATAGCACCAGACTCCAAGAGGACTTAGACAGGTAAAATGAGCAGAGACGTGGAAGATGGGGTTTAATGTGGAGAAATGCAAAGTGTTGCATTTTGGTAGGAAGAATGAGGAGGCAGTATAAGCTAGATGGTACAATCTTAAAGGGGGCAAATGAACAGAGACCTATGGGTCCACATAAGCAAATCTCTGAAGGTGACAGGACAGATAGATAAAGTTGTTAAAAAAAGCATACGGGATATTAGGTTTTATAAATAGGGGCATAGAATTCAAGTCAGGAGGTTATGTTGAATATTTATAAAATGCTGGTTAGGCCTCAGTTGGGAGTACTGCGTTCAGTTCTAGGCACTGCACTTCAGGAAAGATATCAGGGCACTGGAGAGGGTGCAAAGGAATGAAGGACCTTAGTTATGAGGAGAGGTTAACGAAACTAGGATTATTCTTCCGAGAGCAGAGAAGAATAAGAGGGGATTTAATAAATGTTTTTAAGATCATGAGAGGAAATGATAGGTTGAACCGAGAAAAACTGTATCCACTGGCATGTGGGTCAGTAATCCAAGGACACCGATTTAAGTTAGTTGTTAAAACAGAGGGGAGGTTAGGAAAATGTTTTCACCAGTGAGTTGTTCGGATCTGGAATGCATTACTTGAAAGGGTAGTGGAAGCCGATTCAATAACAACTTTTAAGAGAGAAGTAGATGAGTAATTTGGGGAGGCTAATTTGCAGAGCTATGGAGAGAAAGCAGTCCAGTGGGATTGAGATGGATTGCTCTTCTCAGAGCCAGCGCAGACACGATGGGCCGAACAGCCTCTTTCTGTGCTGTATGATTCTATGATTTTTACCATTGACAAGTTTTTTGTAAATAGATAAATATTTTGCAGTAAACCAAGAAGTGTATTCAAGAATAATACATAGCAAAAAAGCCTTAATACAACCTGGGAACAAATTGCTGCTTGGCAACATGAAGGGATTTCACAGAATTTGAATGAAAATAGAATTTGAATGGGCAACCCCTAATCTCTTCTCCTAAAATATTATAACACTAATAGAAACAAGCAGAGAGGTTTAAAATAAATAAGATTAATTAGGATTAGCCTTCCTTGCAAAAGAACATTGTTTTAGCAGGATAGACATTCAGTTTAATTCCTGTATTAAAACAACTGATACATTTTTAAACATTTCATTATAAAATCACTTAAGAGGCTTCACTGCATTAGTTCTAATTGTTTCCCTGAGTTTTGTCTTTTTAAAAAAATGTCCTTGAATGCATGAGAGTACAAAGATGTTTGAACACTGTGAGGAAATAACAGTCCAGCTAAAATAGCTTTCATTTCAGCAAAACATGGATAACGCCTGGCTGTGGCTCCTTGAACCTGCAACAAAGTAAGAAAGTAAGCCATTATTAGAAATAGTTTTATCTCTCCCACCTCTGACAACTTTGTGTAATCTACTGAATGTCACCAGGCAGCTCGGCTGTAGATGGTGTCACAGCCAAGATAGAATTCTCACCTGGATGCCATACATGCACACTACAGATAAGGGGTGATGAAGAGCCCATAAATATCAAGAATCCTGTCTGCTTTTCCCTTTCCAAACGATTTAGGAACGATTTAGCATCCCATGTCGCCACAGCTGAGTAACACAGATTGAATCATACTCTCACCAAAGCAGGAGGAAAGATGTATCAAAAAATACTTTTGCAGGGTGTGTAACACAACTCATTTCTTAGATAACTATCAAACAAGAGTTAATGAATACAGTGCAATAACGTTACCTGAAATTCTGGCTGTTGAGGTACTCAATGACTGCTGGTTTAAGACGTGCTACTCCACCTTGACTGTGGTTTCCTCTTCCAGTTATAACAGACAAAAAAGATTTACCGCCTTTTTGCTGGTGTTCTGAAAGAATTAGTAACAGTTAAGGCATATACCATGGAAGTAAATATGCATTAAATTTGAAGGGCATAAATAGACCATTCACAGCTCATCAAAGCTCCACACGTTTATTCAAAAATGGGTTTTACTTTACATACAAAATGCTATGCAACCAGTTAGAGGATCAAGAGTATAAGCATTTTAAATAACATTGCTCCAAGGGCACACTGTATAAATCTGGCAAGCATGTGAACTGCAAATGACAATTAATGTTGCTACATTGCACAGACTACTCCATGGATAGCTAGGACCCTTACATATTAGAGTTTGGCTTGCAGTGTTGAGGACAGCACCCAGATCCCCCCTTCCACCAATACTGTCCTGCTTCAGGTCCCTGTCAATACCAGCTTACCATCAGTAGGCGAGCTTTCAACAACTTCTCTCCCACTCTTTGAAACTCTTTTCTGAAATCCCTTCAACATGCTCCCTCCTTCTCCACTTTCAAAACCCAATTAAAAACCTCTCTAATTGACTGCATCTCCAACCACCTTCCATATCCACTAATCTCCCACCCAGTCTTTATAAGGCACTTTGAGATTTTGCCTATGTGAAAGGTGCTTTACAATTGTAATTGGTTGTTTACAACTGGACTGACTATGAAAAGACAGTACACGTGTTCAAAAAGGAGAATGGCAGAGCTTCCCTCTTTCCAGGCTGACTCTGGATTCCTTTAACCTTACTCAATACCATCAACCTACCATGAAGCTTCTCAAGCAGCACATTTTTCAGGTGGTACAAGGCTTCGTTCACATGAAGTCCATGCAGATCTAAAACATTGTTTGGAAGTAGTGATGCATTCACTTGATCAAAGATTCGTACAGCAGCTCTGTGATTAGCTTCTTTCATCTTCTCTCCATGAAGGTGGCCCTTTAAACATAGATGGTTATATTACAGAACAATCAGAGTAAAACAGTATTTTGAAGTGCACAAAACAGCCCATCACCACAAAAGCTCATAGAAATTATCAAAAATTGTTTCTCCGATTGACATTTCATTGTAAGAATGAATTACAATCAAGTAGAACACTAGAACGATAGTGAAAACGTGTGATAGATTCTGTCGGCTCACTTAGAACATCTCCAAATTACCAAGGGTATTATTAGGTGACCTGTGTAATAATAATCTTTGCATTTGATATAGCGCCTTACCACGTCTTCGAGATGTAACAGCTCCTCACACGCACAAAAATTGGTACTAAACTGTCAACAAGACTAATCCAGGAGAAACGTTTACCAGCTTTCTTGGGTCACCGCTACTTCTTAAGAGTCCTTACCTGCTGTGCATAATGTGTTGCCACTTCCTTCAGACCCCTTTGATGGGCTTCCGCTGCCTTACTGAAACATTCCTGTTGCTTGCGACGATGCACAGACGCTTCAGCCCTGAAATCTACATAATCTGGGTACTCGATATCCTGGAACAGGTATTCATTTTGTACCACCTTTTTTTCCTTAGTCGCCTTTATCTTAAACAAATGCAAAAGGGAAACCATAATTGAATTAGCTGCAGCAATAAATCCACAAACAAAATCAATCCCTTGTTTTGGTCATGGTGCAGCATATAACGGATGAGACATCTGCATGATGCCTAATGCTAAACAACATAAGAAATCCCATCATTGGACATCTCATTTAGAATCATTGATCTTTTGCTCTTCACAACTATTCTCTCTTGGTTCTCTATCAGCTGGTACAGAAAATAAACCACACATATTCCAGTAGTTTGGTGTAGCAGTTCATAATAAATTCATAATAACCATGTTCAGTATATCATTAACAGTATGGTTAAGCACTATAGTTAATTTGCATTCTGTGTGATGATCCATTACTTTCAGTGTTTTCATAACTACAATGATCCTAATTGGTGCAGATGGTAGTGGATGGTGCTTTGTTTTCCACAACAATTTTTATGTCCACCACATTGCACTTTGTCCTCAGAAAGTCAATGTGTTATATATCTTACTATCAGTTATCAGAAAAGTGTGCAAGCCTTAAAAAGTACAAAATTCTGATCATTTTTTATAGTTTGTTAATTAAATCATCAAAGAGCAATTTGACCTTCAATTTAGCGACTCTGAATTTTTCATATGTTTTAAGATATTTCAACCAACTGCTCACCTTAAGCTTGTTCCTCTCAGCACTCTGTTCATTTTGAGAGGAACTATCCTGAGCTACAACAGTTCTTGGTGGGTATGGATCACAGTCAAGCACTGAATTCAGAAATTGTTCTGTCTGATTGAAAGAATAACTAATGGAAAAAACAAAATTATTTTTTTTCAAGCTCATTCTTTTTGTCATGAATAAGAACTACAAAGAACATTAATTACAGTAAATGGCATTTCTTTGCCTTGTTACTTAATGTCAATAGTTTATAATAATAATCCTTGCATTTGATATAGCGCTTTTCAGGTCGGGAGGACGTCTCAAAGCGCTTCACAGAACACACTGTAAAGTGAATTAACTGTATATTTGTGGGCGAACGCGGCAGCCAATTGCACACAGCAATGTATCCCACAAACAGTTGTAGATTAAAAATGACCAATTTATTATTGTTTTTGGTTTTGGAGGGATTATTATTAGGCTCTGTGTGGAGTAAGGAAACTTGCCCAAGGTTTCGCTCTGCCTGGAATTGAACTCAGGTCTCTCACTTGCAAAGCAAGTGCTCTAACCACTGAGCTACAGGACTCTTATCTATCTTCTCAGTACACTTATAATAATAATCCTTGCATTTGACATAGCGCTTTTCACGTCGGGAGGACATCCCAAAGCGCTTCACAGAACACACACACTGTAAAGTGAATTGACTGTATATTTGTGGGCGAACGCGGCAGCCAATTGCGCACAGCAATGTCCCACAAACAGTCGTAGATTGAAAATGACCAATTTATTATTGTTTTGTTTTGGAGGGATTATTATTAGGCTCTGTGTGGAGTAAGGAAACTTGCCCAAGGTTTCGCCCTCTGCCGGGAATTGAACTCGGGTCTCTCGCTTGCAAAGCAAGTGCTCTAACCACTGAGCTACAGGACTCTATCTATCTTCTCAGTACACTTCACATCTAATGACATACTAAATGCAGATAGAAGATTACAATATAGTCTTACATAATTTTAAGTTTTATTGAGGAAGTACTAAAATTAGGCACGGTGGAATAATTTTTTTATTAAGTGACAATCAATCTGACTATGTAAGGCATCTCCTCAACCAATCTCCTCACCTTATCCTCCTTGGGGGGGGCGGGGGGAGAAAAAGAAGAGGCCAAAGTCTCCTTGAACCTGAACTAGCTTTGGCAACCGAATGTCAGAATTGAGCCAGCCCTCTGTGGCGGTCTCAGTAGTCCAGTTCCTGACCTAGGTGGGTCCGCAGTATTCCAGGGCACTGCTGCTGACAGGACAACCTGACTGGCTCATTGGCAGGACATAGAAAGGCAAACCAGTCATTGGGGGTAGGGCCTTTTCCCACTCAGATCCCATTACCCTGCAAGCCTCAGGCTCCAACCCTCGACTTTTGCCAACCTGTACCTAACACTTTTCAGAATCAGGTAAGCAGGATGCATCTTTCCAGGGAGGGAACGAGCATTCCATTCTAAGCTGAATGCAGAGAGGAACAAGAACATGGAGGGCTGACACAAAATAAATGATACTGCGCAAGATATTAAAAAAATTCTCCCCCCAAGTTGCATTTTCCACAACTAACAAAAGCCTAGGCATTCTGGAATGAAACTCACTTGTTATCTTTATACATATCCATGATGAAGTGCTTATCAATGCCTGGAAACATGTCAAAGAGTTGTTTCTCCTTCAACTTTGATGCACAGTCTTTTTTGGGCAAGAGAGAACTCAAAATGGACTGCAAGAGAGAAATAATGAAAATAGCTGCAATATGTTATATATGATTGAATTAAAGATACTTGTCCTCACTTTTAAATGCCTCCATGGTCTTTCCCCTCCCCAGTGACCTTCTAAAACCCTTCCTTCCCACCCACTCCCTCTGCTGGGCAGGCCTTGGTCTGCTGCACATCGCCAGTCTGCATCAGGTACTCCACCCTGCACACCCCACCATCGGGGTCAAGCTTTCAGTATTTTTGCCCCGTAGGTCTGGAACTCCATCCCGTAGTCCTTGCGTCTCACTCCTTTCCTCTTCTCCGTCAAAGTCCATCATAAGACCAGTCTCTTTCACCGCATGTTTGATTATTTTCCCACCCCACTGCCCAAGGCACCCACCACTCCTAAATTAAACCTCCAGCTCAGATGTAAATCCTCAACTGTCCGAGCACCTTGGGATATCTTTCCGATGTGAAAGGCGCTATATGAATTGAATTTACTGTTACATAGTCTTTTAACTTAACACAAATGACTATATTTTTAGGCTAGTATCTTGCAAAGAAGATGCATGTTCCACCCAATTCCCAGACTACAAAATCGCTGATATTTGAAGGGTCTTTCATTTTTCTCCAAGAATAATATAAAGAGCACCATTCACTTCCACTTTTCACTGTGTTCTTGCCAATCATAGTTCCAGGCAACTGAAATAATTCCCATAACAAAACTGAAATGCATACATACCTGGTCTTGCTTCACCTGGAAATTCATTTCCTCAGACATGATGTGTCTTAAGGAGACACTAGGAGCCCGAGAGCCCCAATGGTCCATAAAAGGTAAGCCTTGCATCACGTTATGATTGGCAGTAAATGGCTGAACAATTGCCTTATTTCCTTGATTTCCACTAGTTTTCGCTACTTGCTTCAAGGAAGATGAAGGGTCCTCTTCTTCCGCGCCCTCAAGTTGACACTTTAAGTCCAGAGATAAATTGTCATCTAAAGAAATACATTTGTATATTTTTAAACTGAAACAAGCAATAGACAAGCTCAATTATCAAGTAGGATAACAGTTTCTTTAATTTGTTCAGCTAAAGTTAACATTAAGATGCAGAGCGACAACTCTGAAACTGACATCAAGAAAGAGAGCATATCTGCACGTCTCTCCTTACTTATGATTGTCTACGAGAAATTCCTATTGAAAGGACACTTGAGCAGCAGTTCAGACAACAATCCAAGGGCCCACTTTCATTGTAAATGACAACATTTCAAATAGAGCCAAACAGGAACTTGAAGTACACCGATTCCCTTTTTCAGGCAGGTCTTGTTCGCAGCCTTCCAAGAGCTAGTCCTTCTTTCATGGGGGTAGGCTAAGGGTAACAGCATAACAACAGTACTGATGTGCTCTATTGATGCCAGCCTTTGTGATATTAAAAACACACAACGTTTTATGAAGGATCTCCAAATCAACTTAGTCAGTCAGTGCTCTCACTGCAGGGATTAGTTGCTGTGGTAGCAGAAGGTAAATTGCGCCTCAGCCCTTACTCCACCTTGGTACCCTTTACAATACAGCAATATCCTCAAGGGAATCCTGTCCCACCATCTTACCCCAATACTAGGCAATGATAAACTGCAGAAGCATCTCCTACAGCTCATACTATTCATTAATGACTTGGAAGAGAATACATCTTGTTACACTTGCTTACGATACGATATCAGCATATATGATCAATACAAGGAAAATACAACAACATGGATTTATATAGCGCCCTCCATGCCGGACGGCATCTCAGAGCGCTTCATAATAACGGATCCTGGGGCCGAGCCGGGGGGAGGGGGAAGAAGGTGACCAAAGGCGCGGTCGAAAAGAGATCTTTAGCCGAGACCTGAAAGTAGGAAGAGAGGGGGCGAGGCAAAGGGAGCGAGGAAGTGAGTTCCAGAGCTTCCAAGGGTAGTGGCTGAAGGCACGGCCGCCGATGGTGGAGCGGAGTATTCGGGGGACGAGGAGGAGACCAGACCTGGTGGAGCGAAGGCAATCGGCACTGTTGTGAGGAGAGAGGAGGTCAGAGAATTAGGGGGGTGCAGAGGAGTGGAGGGATTTGAAAACAAGAGTGAGGATCTTGAAATCGATCCTCTCTGGGACAGGCAGCCAGTGCAGTCTGGCAAGGACTGGGGTAATCGGGGAGTGGAGTTTGGTACAGGTAAGAATGAGGGCAGCAGAATTCTAGATGACCTGGATTTTATGAATGGTAGTGGAGGGGAGACCGGTCAGGAGGGCATTTGAATAGTCCAGCCGAGAGGTGACAAAGGCATGGACCAGGGTTTCGGCGGCTTTTGGAGTGAGATATTGGCGGAGACAGGTGATGCATTGAAGAAATTCTGGACCAATTAAGTAAGGAATAACAATGGATTTTAATGCAGATAAATATAAGGCAATGCTTTCTCAAATTTATAAATATATTTCAAAACAGCTTACAAATGAATGTAACATAACTATGGTCCCTTGGTGTTGCGACTGAGCTATTCCCAACAGAACCACCACAGGAATTTAGCAGCAGTACAGCACTAAGGTCGAAGAGCAGATAAATCAAGAGATAGTAATTAGGTGATGTGAAGTTCGTTATAAAAACCATTACAAGAAGGAGAAAAGACTGATGAAGTTCAATAATCTTCAGGTTCTGGAAAACAATGAGGTTAAATAGGATACAGTGCAAATCAATTTCAACATGAGATGGACAAAGTGGGGGAAATGGGAAAGGAGAAGAAGAAATTAGTCAAGATCAGAGGAGCAATAAACAAATTATTCCTAAAATACAGAACAAAAAAAGGTTGCAACTAAGACAGAGGGCAAAAGAGCCCGTGACTAGAAAGGAGAAATGTTACAAGAGCATTGTCAATATATGTGAGCAGCATTCAATTCTCAATGGACTTGAGTTTCGCATAGTTGAAATGTTGTGAGTGCGAAAAAGGGAAATTAAGGAGGCAGCTTTCATAACAGAGGAGACATGTGAATTCTATCTGAGATCAGAGGAGAGGACAAGAATATCAATATAAACCAAAACATTTAGTAGAACAACTACTTGAATTTATATAGCGCCCCTCATGCAGGACCTCACCACCATTAAAACGTGCTTTGTTATAACTTGGGATTCCTTATCTTGGGGACCCATTCTCATTATAGCTATTAACGAATAGAGTGAACAGTAGGCGACGGCTCTAAAAGTTTTGTCTTTGCATTGCAGATCTAAAAATTTTTAAAAATTTGCTTCAAGACAACGCCAGCTAACAAAAGAAGTAACTATGGGGTCTTTAGGTCACTCACATCACTTCCGGTGAGCACAGCTTGATGCGATGACCCCGAAGCCCACCTTTTTGGGGGGCACAGAAGTCCAGGCAGCTTTGATCATGAATGCACAATGAATACAGTAACGCTCACTGGTGATCGTGCCCAGTTACAACACTAGCTGGGATTTTATGGAACCAAACTACCAAGTGTATGAGAGAAGAACATGATCAAGTACATTTTCAGGAAGAAAGCTGAATAGGAAATAGTGTAAATATGATTCATTTGATTTTATTCTCCATTCTGCTTATTTGATTTCATCATTTTCGTAAGTTATAAATATGTAATTTTCAGGGGCTGTTCAGCAATGTATATATAGAAATATCTACTACCTTCCAAAAGGAGCTGATATGACAGAGCTTCTTGTCTTTGCCGTTCCTGGAAAAAAAAGAAATGCACATCAGTCAAGCAAGATAAAATGATTTAAGTTTAAGGTGGAAATTAACCTTCAGTTAGTAAGTTACGTTTTTGTTTACCAAGTGTCTGACATGCACCATGCTTAAGTATCCAAATCAACCTGAGATTTCCATGCATTCCCCTACATATGTAAATCCCAGAGATAGATTGTTGGAATGGAATTCACACTCTCTCATTGGAGGGACACATCCTGCTTACCTAATTCCGGAAACCATTAGGCACAGGTTGGCAAGCGCCAAGGCTTGGGGACCCCAGCCTGTATGTTGGGGTTCAAATGGAGTCTAACCAGTTAAAACCGCAGTTTGCCATTATTATCACTATCTGGCAAGCTTTCCCGCTGAGCTTTCTCGTCCAGCCAGAATCAACCTACCCGTTAGGGCTTTGGCTAGCATGGTTAACAGGAGCTGAGTGGGATGCCTTCCTGCCCCGAGTGACTGCTTCTCTTGCTCATCCAGGTCCTGCCAATGAGCTAGGCTGTCATCAGCACTGCCCTGGAATACTGCAGACCCGTCAGGACTACCAAGGCCACCACAGATGGCTGGCTCGATTCTGACACTCCGGTGCCAAGCTTGTTACCTTGGAGCCAGTTCAGCTCCAAAGAGATCCTGGTTACCTCCACCCCCCACCCCCACCGAAGGATAAAGAAGAATAACAGCTACATATATGTGACAAAGCATTTCTTAAAATTAGTTATAGTAAAACTTCAGCTTACCAGACTCCAAGTATCTGGAATTCATACCTAGCCAGACCAGACCCAAAACAGATTTTTTAAAACATTTCCACGGGCCCACGTGTAGACTCCCACCTGCCCACTGTCCTAGAGCTCGCCCCCACCTCACTGTGCAGCCTGTCCTAGAGCTCGCCCCCACCTCACTGTGCAGCCTGTCCTAGAGCTCACCCCCACCTCACTGTGCAGCCTGTCCTAGAGCTCACCCCCACCTCACTGTGAGATGCGCACCCGACCCCCTAGAAGAGACAAATACAAAATCTCATCTAAAGGATGGCCCTTCCAACAATCCAGCAGTACCACACTGGATGCCAACCTAGATTATGAACTCAAGTTCTGATGTAGGGTTCAAACTCACAGCCTGCACATTTAGTCAGTAACAGTGTATGGACGCGCAAAGAGGCATTTCTTAAAATTATCTACCATACAATTGTCTACTCTTACTCTGAGTGGTACTGGCAAATTGGAGCCAACTTTTTTTTTGGTGAGCATGTTTAATATATGCATAAACCCATTACCTTGCTTAAAAATATCTAAGTCAAACAGAGTTCCATGTATCCCACCTGCACATGGTAATACCAGAGATGTTCATTGGAATGGAAATCACACTCTCCCTGAAGGGACACATCCTGCTTACCTAATTTATCAAATCTGAAAGCAGTTGTATTCAGAGTACTCCCAGATTAGAAATTTTACTGATAACATACAAACTATTTTACTGAGGCAACTAATAAAAAGGGCTCAATCCTATCAGAACTGTATTCAATAATATTGACATTGGTCATAGCAACTTTCAAGTCAAGAGGATCTTTGAAAGCACTTCACAGGATATACTGTAAAACGTGTACATTTTGTAGGCAAACAGAGCAGCCAATTTGCACATTGCAATGTCTCAGTAACAATCATAAAGTGAATGACCAGTATTTTTTGAGGGTTTCCCTTCTCTTTTCAAATCGTGCCATTTACGTCTACCTGAACAGGGTTAGTTTAACATCTCACCCAAAGGGCGGCACCTCCAACCATACAGTACACCTCAGTATTGGTCTGGGGATAAACCTTGTCTGAGACCCAACATGGGCTTCAACCCATGACCTTTTCAAGGGCTTTCAAGCTCTGGGATCCAGAAGTAAAACAAATAATACTGCAAACTATAAATTGTACTCACCAATATAGACTCTTTCCACTTCTCGTGAATCATTTTTGCTAAGCTCAGATCAATCTGGACGACACAATCATCTAAAGTCATAGCATCTGAAAAAAAATCAATGTTACACAGATGAGACGTCCTCCCGACGTGAAAAGCACTATATCAAATGCAAGGATTATTATTATGAGAGGAAAAAAACACTAATCAGAAACAGAAATAGTGTGTTTCAGATCAGGAGGACGTCCCAAGTGCTTAAAATACCGTATTTTCAACCCCACTGCATACAAATATTTTATTCAGATCCATTAAAAGGGACTGCACAGTTAACTAAATTCTACACCCATTGGGACATTAAAATTTTTCTACCCAGGTACAATGTAAAAATTCCAAATAATACATATATGGTTAGGACAACTGTACAGTGAACAGCTATACATCTTGCTTACCTGGATCAAGGCCTACTGAACCAAATAGCTCATTGAGCTGAATGGCCAGTTCAGGTGGTAAACACAATTCCAAGGATTTAATGACCAGTGAATCAGCATACATTCCTAAACCATTCAGCTTTTCACTTTCATCTTCTTGTCCAATCTCTTTCTCTTCATTCCCATTTTCTTTTTCCACTGTATCAGAGCTGAACTGACTTTCAGTACTCAGTACATTTTGAGTATTCAAACAGCCCTCTGGATTTGATTGTGAGGCGTTCATATTTTCAGAGTTCATCTCTTTTATTTCTGCACATTCAGGGAAACCAACATCCGCTTCTTTTGTCAGTTTTATACTTGAAGTGTCTGACGCTTTGTCATCTATACATTCTGTGTTTCCTGATTCCTTTCTGAGCAACACTTCATTGAGTTCTGGTCTTAGAGTGCATTCATTGCTGGGATTAGGTAACTGACTGCAATTTATATCAGATGTTGGATTGCGTACATCTACTACACGAGAATCGACAAGTTCAGTTACAACTTCAGATTCTGTTTCAATGTTAGGTGAGGGGTTTAAGTCTTCAAAATCCTCAGCATGGTCAGGCAAATTATTAGCACTGCTAATTTCCTCTTCATTAGTTTCGGACATTTCTAAATTTGCATCAGTTGCCTTCTTACTAGCACTAGGCAACATATTTTCTACAGCTGTAGATTCTTCATTTGGTGGCTGCTCATCTGATTTTGCATTCTTTGTTTGTGATACTTGGTTCAATTCTTGGGGTGGTGCTGACTCCTGCTTCAATAAATCTTCTCTTGAGAGTTTCATGCCAGAATCAAGCAATAAATTGGTAGTCCATTCCACATCATTGTTGCACTTTTCATACAAATCAGTCAGATCCTCGAAGGGGACAGATTTGAAACAATCACGGAGTATCTGCAGATTCGCCTCTTTATTAACAAAGACGCTTTCATCCACATGTGTACTTTTGTCATACATGACTCTATATGGCACTGTTTGGTTAGGATTTACACATTTTTCTATTGCATTCAAATAGGTTGATTTAAATCCATCTACAGTTCCAGTCAATACTTTAAATGGAACCAAAGCAGCTTTTTGCGTCTCAATGCGCCACAACGTCACAAAGTCCTCCGGTGCTGTTTGTGTTCCGTTGCAGTGCCTTGAATTCTCTGATGGTATAGTCCCATTCTGAATTTGATCAGAGATCATGGAGGCCTGCTCTGGCAACTCAGCAGGGACAGGGCTCGTGCCACTGAACGTCAGTGCTAGTTTGCAAACTTTCCCCATTCTCCTTCCTTGACGAGACTTTGTATTTGTGTGGGTTTCAAGTAACTTCTCTGAAATTTGTTCTAAAGCAGTTGCACATTTCGGTTCCTCACAATTCTCAAATTTTGTTTCTGAATCAGAGGCTTCCTCATTTGAATATATTTCAGAATCATTGCTATTAGAGGCGAGTTTGTCTACAGATTCATCATAGTCAATTGTACCTGACAAAACACAACATCTTTCTCTATTTTCATGTTCATTTGAACTGTTCAATGCTTCTTTTATTGAATTGCTTATGTTGATTAGCTCCTCGTTATTAGTTTGACCTCCAATCTCATGATTTGTGCATTCGGTTTTCCTAGTTTTTCTTTCTCGCTGGTCTTGAGGTTTTGGGATAGTTACTGCTGGCCAGTCTCCAACAAAGTTCCCGAGTTCTGATTCAGTCCTCTCAATAGACTTGTTCACAATCTGTGCCTTTTTTACAATTGAAACATCTTCTCCACACACTGGGGGCATTTCTAGAACCCCTTCTGTATCACAAGAACTTTGTCGACTCCTCCTTCTAATTCTCTGACCAATAGTACTAAATGTAGTTGTTATATCAGAATCAGTTATGTCTCCATGACCATTCAAACCATCTGTATTTTCTGTTGCATTAAACTCAGATTCAATATTTCTCTCATCCGTTCCTGCTTCCATTTCTACATTTGAGCAAATGTCTGAACTATCACTAACTGCTGACCGTACAGTCTGATTAAATTTTTGTAACCGTTCTCCATTTATAAACTCTGAAAGACCATGGTTATCGTCACAATCATTCCCAATCTTATGATTTCCACTTTCACTAGTGTAATCTGCCAGTTGCCACATGTCTTTCACCAAGTTATTATCAGAGGACATCACTTCAGTCTCTACTGTTTTTCCATCTTCCATACAAGTTAAAGGAGACACAGGAGTGTATGATGAACGTTTGAGATCTTGGCAAGCTGCTCCTCTTAGTGCTATAGCCGAAGGCTGCACCTCTGTATTTGTTACCCTGCAAATAGACAAGTACATAAATGTAACCTCAAGATCAGTGTATTGGAAAAATTCTTACATATTTAAAAAGTAATATTTTGGCTACATATTTAAACTGAACTATGAACTGAACATTTGCTAGACTTGCACCATGAACCAGAAAAAAAATTGAGTGATAAGACTTTTGAAAGTTGCAGGTTATCTTTTCAGTACATGGTTTATGTTCACTCAACAACAACAACAAGATTCCATTTATAGAGCGCCTTTCACGTCGGGAGGACGTCCCAAGGGGCTGTACAGTTGGGTCAGGACCCGAGCCTTGGGGGGAAATGGTCAGGGTGAGGGGAGGGAAGGGAGGGAGCGAGGAAGGGGTAGAGAGTCGAGAGGGGAGCTGAAGGCACGGTCACAGAGAAAGGTCTTGAGACCGGCCTTGAAGGAGGAAAGGGAGGAGGCGGCGAAGGCACTGGGGGATAGAGTTCCAGAGCCTCGGGGCTGAGAGGCTGAAGGCCCGGCCACCGATGGTAGGGCAGTTGGGGCGGGGGATGTGGAGCAGACCGGAGCCAGAGGAACGGAGGGTACGGGCAGGTAGGTAGGGGGATAGTAGGTCGGAGAGGTAGGAGGGAGCAAGGCCGTGAATGGCCTTGTAGGTGAGGATGAGGATCTTGAATTCGATCCTCTGGGGGATGGGGAGCCAGTGGAGGCGAGCGAGGGTGGGAGTGATGTGGTCCCGAAGCCTGGTGCGGGACAGTACACGAGCTGCAGAGTTCTGAATGACCTGCAGCTTGTGGAGGGAGGTGCCGGGAAGGCCGGCGAGGAGAGAGTTCCCATAGTCCAGCCTTGAGGTGATAAAGGCGTGGACCAGAGTTTCAGCAGCGTGAGGGGTGAGGTAGTGCCGTAGTCTGGCGATGTTCCGGAGGTGATGGAAGGCGGTGCCAGTTGTGGTGCGGATATGAGGGAGAAAGGACAGCTCAGGGTCGAACAGAACCCCGAGGTTCCTGACTGGCTTTGAGAGGTGGAGAGTGCAGCCTTGGATGCTGATGCTGTCAGCGCCTGAGGTGCGGAGGCGCTGACGTGAGCCAATCAGGAGGGCCTCAGTTTTGCGCACGTTGAGCTGAAGAAAGTTGTCTCTCGTCCAGGACTCGATGTCGGACAGGCAGCTGTCAGGACATCGGTGGTCGTGGAGTTGAGGGTAGAGGAGGAAAGGTAGAGTTGGGTGTCATCCGCATACATGTGGAAGTTAACCCCATGTCTGCGGATGATGTCACCGAGGGGGAGCATATAGAGGGTGAAGAGGAGGGGACCGAGGACTGAGCACTGAGGGACACCACACGAGACAGTGCGGGGGCCGGAGGAAAAGCCATTTGTGGAAACAAAATGAAGACGGTGGGAGAGGTACGACCTAAACCACTCAAGGACAGGGCCTTGAAGGTTGAGGTGGGAGGACAAGCGGTGGAGTAGGATAGCGTGGTCGACCGTATCGAATGCTGCCTATAGGTCGAGGAGGACGAGGAGGCAGAGGGAGCCCTGGTCACAGATGGTCAGGATGTCATTGGTGACCTTGACCAGGGCGGTTTCTGTGCTATGGGCAGCACGGAAACCCGACTGAAGGGGTTCAAATAATGAATGGGTGGAGAGGAAAGAGCGCAGCTGGGAGGTGACAACTCGTTCAAGGACCTTGGACAGGAAGGGGAGGTTGGAGAAGGGCCGGTAGCTTGATAGCTGCGACGCATCAAGTGAGGGTTTTTTCAGGGTGGGCGTGATGATGGCAGTTTTTAAGGGAATGGGAACAGAGCCAGAGGAGAGGGACAGGTTGACGATGTCTGTGATATGTGGGGCAAGGAAGTGGAGCTGGGAGATAAGGAGTGGAGTGGGGATGGGGTCAAGGGAGCAGGTGGTGGGTTTCAGGGATGTTGGAGGGGAAGTGACCGAGGAGCGGATTCCCTTGATTTTGGATTCAAGGAAATCCAGCATCTCCTCGCAGTGAAGGTTGGAAGAGATGACCTGCGCGGGGTGGCGGGGGGGACGGAGGAGTCGGGATGTGGTAGAAAATAGAAGCCTGGGGTTGTCCTTCGCCTCCAGGATTATCCTGGAGTAGAAGGACGATTTGGCCGAGGTTAGAGTGGAGCGGTAGATTTTGAGGAGGTGCAGCCAGATTTGTCGGTGGACCGTTAGGCCAGATTTGAAGCAGGTGCGTTCAGCGGCCCACACCTGGCTCTTCAGTGAGCGGAGGTGGGTGGTGAACCAGGGGGAGGAGCGAGAGTAGGACAGTACGGGAGGTGATGGGGACAAGAGTGTCGAGTGTGGAGGAGAGGATGTTGTGGAGGAGGGTGAGAGGAGAAGAGGGGTCAGTGAGGGTTGAAGGCCAGAGGGAGAGGAGTTCAGAGGACTCCAAGGCAACGGTTAGGGATTGTGGGGGTAACTTCTTCCAGGGGCGGTAGAAGATGGTGGTGGGTCTGGTGGAGGTGGGGAGGGGGGTGGAGGTGGTGAAGGAGATGAAGTGGTGATTGGAGACGGCTTTGTCGGTGATAGTGACATCCAAGACACTGAGGCCCCGGGTGATTACCAAGTCGAGTGGGTGGCTGTGACTATGAGTGGGGGAGTTGATATGGAGGGAGAGGTTGAGCGAGGAGAGCAGGGAAGAGAAGTCCGAGGAGATGGAGCAGGAGGGGGTGAAGTGCAGGTTGAAGTCGCCCAGGATGATGAGGCGATCAGAGCAGAGGCAGAGAGATGTAAGAAGTGTCGAAATATCGGAGATGAAGGTGGGAGAGGTTTTAGGGGGCCAGTAGAGGAGGAGGATTTTGAGTGAGAGGAAGGAGGGGTGGGAGAGGGTGAGGTGCTCGAAAGAGGGGAAAGAGCCAGAGGAGTAGGGGGATAATATCCTTGAGATAAGGGCTACACCACCTCCACGGCGGTTGAGGCGGGGGATGTGGTGGGAGGTGTAGTCGGGTGGTGTGGCCCCCGTGAAGGGGAAGGTGTCGCCTGGGGTGAGCCAGGTTTCCGTTAAGGCCATGATGTCAACGCTCTCATTAAGGATGAGATCGTTGATGACCAGGGCCTTGTTACAGAGGGAGCGGACGTTTTGTAGTCTGATGTGGAGGGAGCGGTTGACAGAAGGGTGTGTGGGGAGGGAGGGGTGTCCAGGTTGTGAGGCAGAGATGGGGGGAATGGGGATGAGAGGTTGGCTCCCCGGGTCTGTGTCCGGGGTGGCTGGCGAGTGTGGTGGGGAATGGGGCAGTCGGTGTGGCTTAAATACCTGAGTAGGTAGGCCCAGGCTCCTCCCCGCGCTGTCCTGCCGCCACTCCCCGTCACTTACCCAAAGTCTTCAGTCCGTATGAGAGAATATTCTGTTCTTTCAATTCGGGCAGGTGTCAAGGACCTCATGACAGAGCCAACAGTCACGTGGCGTTCATACCGCTCCAACATTGCTTTAATTTTCTCTTTTGGCACACCATGGGTGTTACGCCTAAAAACACAAAAAAACTCTTGGTTAACTTAACACAATAAAAAACAATTAAATAATACTGTTGGGAAACAAAGCTTCAAACTAAGAATCTCCAATTGTTAAAGTGTCCTACAATTTCAATTTAAAATGCATCACATCCATGCATAAACATGAAAGAGGAAATACTGTATCACTGGACTAAACACAGAATGGATACTACAATGCAAGATACAAGATCGTAACATTTATCAAAGGTTGAAGGTGACATTAACCAAACAGATTTCTCCATGGTATCTGGGCAACAGAATTTAGGAAAGTACTGCATTAGAAAAATACCAGAGTCCATTTGGCTCGCTACAAAGTTTAACAACAAATCCTACACCTCTCTCTCACTTATACAACTCAAATCTTAAACCAAATAGCCATCTAAAAGTCTTGAATTTGTTGTCACAAACTACCATCCCAGTTTCTTTGGATCAGACTGGGATATGATACACATGGAAACACATCACCATGCTTAAAAGTAACCAAACCAAGCTGAGAATTCCTTGCATCCCACTTACACATGGAAATCCCAGAGATAGATTGTTGGAATGGGATGCAGTAGACTACTCCACATATTCATCTGTGTAATTCTATATTCACCACTTGCTGTGTAAAACAATTAAACAGGTCAGTTTGCCTTCAACCTTTTGAGCTTGAGTAGGTAAACTTGTTCCAAAATTGTTGACTATACCAAGCAAATATTGTTCGCATTCAGATTACCCAAATATTTCAGCATCTTCAATGCTACAATAAAGAGCTCCCCTGAATCTTTTCTGTTGTGGTGTAAACAATCCAAACTTTTATATATTCTTGAAGCAGTTCTAGGAGGTTAGCCTGGGAAGTTTGTCTCGCCAATGCCAAATAATATTGCAAAACAAAAATAAACTCTTATAATCATATTGCAATTTATCAGAAAATAATTTACAGAATACAAAAGTGCATAGTCAGACCTGCTGGTTTGGGACCCTGACCTGCCAAAATTGAACCTGTGTACTAGTGAAAGTGAAACCAAACACAGAAAATGAGTGACAAATCCTGGCCACTTATTTTAGAGCTAAAAGAATTCTACATGATTGAGAAATCAGGATCCGACAAGGTCTTATTTATGCCACTGTTATGCCATGGATGCTGCACATACTCCAAGGTGAAATAGAGCTATTGTCAGGTCAGTTAGCACGTGTCTGCTGCCATTTACGTCTAAAGCTAGGTGAAGGGTGCAGGAAATTGCAGTAGGATAACATTATGGAAACAAGGAAACGTTTCTGAATATCAAATGACTGCTCCTCATCTTTTTTCCCAATCCACTTATTTCAGTAATAGGTTGAAGTGGTTTATTGCCAAAAAAATCCAATGCCTCACCATTCAAGCTCCCGTGGTTTGAACTTCCACCAGGTATTAGGCTCACGGAATACAACTTTATAATTGTACTTCAATGCCTGCAGAAAAAAGAAGAAATTTGAGGTTTTAGAATCCCCCAAAAAAGTTACTTTACTGAAGTTTTACTCAAGATTGCCTCAGAGTGTAGGTAGCAGAGTGAAGACAATGTAAAATACATCAGTCTGAGCTGGTACCAAAAATAGGAGGACCAATACACTCTGTAATATTTTTGCTTGTGAGATGTCAAATATCTTTCCTTTGTCATGTCACCATGCATTGGAAAGCACATTGGTAAGTCCGAACACCACCACACCACGGTTTTCCTGAGTAATGCTCAGCTAGAGAACACCCACTGCATAATGCAACCCAAAACATTCAGTGCATATAGACATTAAATAGCAGAGTGCCAGAAACTACAAAAAAATAAAATTACCAATATTACAAATGAAAACATGCATTTTTACAAGATACAGCAAATGTTTTCAGAATATACAAACCAATTTCTAAACCACTTTTACTCACCACAGCAATGTAAGGTTTCATCTCCCAAGCCTGTGTGTTTGTGTTATCTATTATAACTGGAGAACATCCCTGCTCCATAGCTTCTTTAGCTGAAATTAAACAACATCCTCATGAGATACAGGACACATGACCAGAAAGTTATTTGATTTAAACAGTTTAAAATAATAGTCACAACAGCAATAATATCCAATTTATTATTATTATTAAAAATGAATTGACTCTACCAAACCCCAAAAAATCACGTCGTGGTGGACATTGGTTCTTGACCACACTTCTTCATTGATGTGTTCTCAATATTATTTTACAGGGTAAAAAAATGTAATAGAAAGTAATCTAGTCCCTTTTTTTTCTGTGGTTGGTTGCAAGACAGAGACCTAGATAAATTCTAGTTGAACCGAGTGCTCTGTAGGAAGGGGAAGAAATCTAACAAGGAGTTTTTTTCAAAAATTGATAAAAATAACAACAAAATGACATTTGTATAGCGCCTTTCACATCGAGAGGATGTCCCAAGGCACTGGACAATCAGTATTTCGGACCCGAGCTGGGGGTTGGGATCAGGGAGGGTAGCGGGAGAAACAGGGTGATCAAAGACATGATCGAAGAGGGTCTTGAGACGCGTCTTGAAGGAGGCAAGGGAGAGGGCGAGGCAGAGGGACTGCTGGATGAAGTTCCAGAGGGTGGGGGCAGTGTGGCTGAAGACCCGCCTGCCAATGGTGAAGGACTTTGAAGGTGAGGACCAGGACATTGAACTGCATCCTGTGTGATGGGAAGCCATTGGATTTGGGCTTTTTAAATATTTTTTTAAAAAAATTATGTAACCTCATCCTTGGTGGTAATGAGGCAGAGATCAAAACTTCTTCCTACAGAAGAGATTCATCTCCAGAGGTGGCAACATAAGTTGCCTGTTTGATAAGATATGTTTGATAACTGTTTGATAACACAGCCTCAGACACAAGCAATCTGATTGAGCTCTCACCCCTCCTTTATAGGGAGGAGATAGTTTGTGTGACCGGTCTGTACAAACAACCCATAAAAAAAATTAGAGGCTTCACGTAAGAAAACATGATCATCTGTGAACTCTAAACAACTGCCAACACACAGATGTGCATTTTCCTTTTTTCTGTGGTATTCACTTCAAAATGCAAATAGTGTAAATTTCACATCAGCAAAGGCTCCAAGGAAAGAAGGATTTTGAGATACAGTGCAACCCAATGCGGCTTCAAGCCAATTACTATACTGCTGCAATCCTGTACCTTGAAATAAAAATTTGTGCAACCGTGCTAGACATGAGTAATTCATGCTGCCTTTTTATGATCTAATGGTCTTGCTCCTGTCTGGTGCAGTCTTGCAAAAATGTGATATGCAAACACATGGTCTTTGTTATGTTCACAGGTATCTCTGAGACAAACCAGATGGCCTGTACTCATCATTAAAGGAAGGTTGAGTTATGAATGAAGTAAACATGTCAGATATAAAGAGTAGTTATTGCTTCTTAGAGCTGACCTGATTGGAGAACCCTGAAGCCTCTGTTCTCCGGATTAGGTAGCTATGTCATTTCTAACATAGCTTTGCAGTGCTGATAAAGAATATTTAACGTGCCATTCATGATCAATATTAATCCTTAATCTTACATTTGATATAGCACCTTTCACATTGGGAGGACATCTCAAAGTGTTTCACAGGATATATCGGAAAGTGACTGTGGACCTTGACTGTGTACCAATTGCGCAGAGCAATGCCCCACAAACAGCGCCAACAACTGAGCCAAGCTGATTAGTTACTTCAGGAAAGTGTGCAAACAGAGCAACATAATTTTTTTCATCTTTCTACCTCTGCAACTTCCTTTAACTACTGCCCCAGCCGCTCCCACTGCTCAGCGAACACCAGCCTACATCACGACCACCCCTCACCACCACCCCACTCTGCTCCACAATCAATTGGTGGCCCTTCAACAATCATGTGCCCGCTCTCTGACTCTAGAGTCACACCACCTTATCCCTGCATACATCTCTTCAACTGTGCTTTTAGCCACCTTTCCTCTCGATTTCTCCACCTCGCCCCACCTCTACCCCATCTTTGAGACATCCTTCCAAACATGCAAGACGCTATAGAAATTTAAATTGTTAGCAAGATACTGTAAAAGTATACACAATAGGAAATAGCAGATGATAGAACCGCTCACCTCGGTTTTGGTTCCATTCATGAGCCTCTCCAATCAAGCAAGGAGCGAACTCGTATTGTCCATTCTTACAGAAGTAGTCATCTGTACTGAGAATTATTCCATTAGGCCCTTGTCCAACAAGATTTCTGCCCAAATACATAAAGCATAAACTTATTTCAATTTGAAGTTTTTTTCTCGTTTGAAAAGGTTCAGGTTTATACAACTGAAAAATCATGGAGTAAGCATGCAAAAAAAAATCTAATTATCATTCTGATAGAATGATTTAAAAATCTACTCAGTATACAATACATTAAATAAAAGGGAAGCCTGAGATTATTCTCTTTCAAAGTACACCCCACCCTCCAAGTATATTAGAATAGATAGATATGTCACCATTACTTAAAGTTTCTCATTTTAAAATATCTGCCTGTTCAGATCTCCAGTCCTAGGCTGTTCACTCCAGTGATATAACTGACAGCATTGATGAAGTCATCATTTAGGACTTCTAAACAACTACACAAACATGACAAGATCCTCTCTTGCTTTGAAATTCACTCCAGTGTAATTTCTACATCACCATAGTCCCCATGCACATACAGCTTTAGAGATTTGCAAATGGGAAACATGAATATTTCATAACCATCATTACCAATTGAGATGACTCCATGTACTTCAATGGGAGAGGATGCTTGGGACCAGCCTGGAAACAAATATATAGCCAGTTGGCTGACTCCAGGAAAGCATAGTGTTGGCAAGCAGGCAGAAAAGTGCAATTCCCATTGAAATAAATACAGCTATCTATGAGTTTCTAGACTGGCCTAGCAAAAAGTACAATCCAATACAGGATTGCTAAGGCCTCAAGTTCTTACTCTTAAGATCTCCATTACCTATTTATCCACCAGCAAAAAATAGTGCATGTGCAGAATTGCACACAAAGATGCTTGAAACAATTTAGTCAGGGTCTGAGCAGCTTTAATTCTGCCTGTTGCACACTACTTCATACACGTGTACCACAGTATTTTTTGCCAGTATTTCACAGCCCCGTATCCACCTTCTGCTTCAAAGCCCAACACAGACAAATCAACATTCAGATAACTGATGTCCTTTTTTTACTGTATAAAAGAATTAAAAAATCTTAAGTGTTACCTAGCTAGAGTACTTTTGCCTGATCCTGGAAGTCCCCTCAATAGAAACAGAAGTTTGGCTGGTCCCACTGTCATCCTGCTTGTGTTTTGTGCAGAAGACTGCAACCGCTGATGGTCATGTAGATTTAACCATGGTTTGGATTGTGAATTGTTGGCAATTAATCGACTATTATCCAAATGAGGTGGACCAGAACCAGGTGTCCATCCAATAGGTCTCCTCGGTGAAGTAAAACCAGGCCTTGGTTTCAGAGGACTCAGTGCCACAGGGGTGACAAATGTTTTCACTGAACTTGCAGCCTGAAATTCAGGAGCCCATGGATTCCATACATTAGAAGGCAACTTAGAATTATTCACAAACAATGAATTATTTGAATGTTGAGGAGAATCTGTCTCTTCATTAGTGACCAATTTGGAGAGCTTTTCAGTACTTGAATCTTGCCTTACATCAAACCAATAAGGGAAACATGATGTGCTTTGTTGCTCATGGCCCGAAGTGTTCTTTGCATTCGCAGATGGTGAGATGGTGTTATTTGTTGCTTTAATTTCATTTGTTCCTTTGATTCCTTGAGATTTTTTAAACAAATCAAAATTTTCAAATGTTGCTGAATTATCATGTTTTAGATCATAGAGAAATCTATTTCTATCGGTATAAAAATTCCCCCCAGATTGATCAGAAATCTCATTGTTCCAGGAAAATCTATTTTGGTGGTCCATTTGATTGGATTGAGTGACATACTGCCTAGGAGTGGCTTCTAAGCCACTGTACTCCTTTGTTCCAATAGCTCCTATATTCATCCAAATTGCTCTTGATATACTGTTGCTTTCACTTTGATTCGGCCAGATACTGGCAGACCCTATTGCGTTTGGAAATACATTACTCTGATCAGAATCAACACAGGACTTCTTGCTACTGAACCCCTCAGGAGTATCCAGACCAATATGGTTGCAATCTGATTGAGCTTCTGAGCTCTGCTCAAATATGTGGTTTTCTCCATGAAAACCTGGACTCGAATTATCTTTGAGGCTATTTGTGTTTAAGGTAAATGGTGACTGCCTGAGAAATAGCCTGTCATCAGGACCTATTTGTTGCCAGTTTTGCTGTTCATTTGATAAACCAGTTGGAGCAGATTCCAAACTTGACTGAACCCGCCTTGGGAACTGATCATTGATATGATTAGCAGAAAATTGGCCCATGGGAGAATTATACTGGTTGAAAAATGGCTGGTACTGTTTATGGAATTCAGAGCTGCTTTTATTTGTGGTGTTTGTAAAACATGTTGCTAATTCATTTTCGATTATGAAGTCAAAGTCTTCAGTCAAATCAAATCCAGATCTCTGAACACTTTCAGCAACAGAATCTGAATTATTTATATAGTCTCTTGGGACAGTCTGGAAAGTCATTTTGCCTTCTTCATTAACTTGATCCTGTTCATCATCAGTCAAAGCAGCTGCCACAAAATCAAATCCTGAGGAGTCTGCAGACGATGCCACCCTTGTAGCTACTCCTTCTGCAGCATCAGACAGTAGAAGCAAAGAATCCATGGCATCATCAGCTGGAGAAGCAAAAAAGAAATTTGTGCATAAATATACTAATAATTTTCTTTCAAAAGAAATCCTCTGAAACATATTCATACAATGTTAAAAATATAGCATCTTATATGAAATCTTATGAAAAAGATATTGTGCCAGGGAGTCAAGATGCAGTAAAATATTTACTGTGTTACAAATACGAAGAAATGTTCAAACATGCTAACAATGATTCTTCCCACGGTCATAATTAGTTACAGGATCATTCAACAATTACTGTACCTCAAACATTATGTTAATAACTGCAGCAATGCAACATTTTCAAAACTAGTAGTTGTGATACACATTTGTTTATGTAAAAGTAAACATGCTTTTTTTAAAAAAATCAAGCAACTTGGATACTTTCAACATGTGTAATTACTATAGTTCATGAAAAAATAAATTACATATTTAAGAGGTTACACAGCAAACAACTTCACATAATCGGATTCAGCTCCGAAATTTAGGTTTCAAACTTGCTTTGATTAAAAGTGATCATTTTAATGAGTGGTGGAAAGAAATTGCAAAGTCATCTACTGTAATCAACAGCTCGCTGCACGTCCCCCACCCTCTCCATGTCACCATCGGTGCATCAATCCTATGCACCTCTGAAACTCCCTCCCTCTTTTTCTGGCTTTAAAGTCCCACCATAAAATAACTAATATACTATTTCTTACAAGCTTATGGTCATCTCCCTCACTCACACAGGGTTCTACCCCAGTATTACACAGTCACTGTACTTTACAGTGTATTCTGTGAAGCATTTGAGATGTCTCAACATGATAAGAAGCTGCATCAAATACAAGGATTATTATTATCCCTTGTAAAGTCCTCTAAGATATCTCTCTACGAGAAGGGTGGTACGTAAATTGCCCAAGGAAACCTTGGGCAAGTTTCCTTACTCCACACGCCTAATAATAATCCCTCCAAAAAACAAAACAATAATAAATTGGTCATTTTCAATCCACGACTGTTTGTGGGACACTGCTGTGCACAATTGGCTGCCGCGTTCGCCCACAAATATACAGTCAATTCACTTTACGGTATATTCTGTGAAGTGCTTTGGGACGTTTAGAACATGTGAAAAGCACTATATCAAATGCAAGGATATTATTATTATTAAATCCAAGACATTTCCTTTTCGCCAGAAGTCACCAGGTAATAAATCACCAGGGAATCTGCAGGAGGCTTATCAGATTATATAATGTTTTGTCACATGGAGCTTATGGAGGCTGAGCCCATAGCATCAGAGTTAGCTCAACCCTGCAAGAGCAGGACACAAAAGGGTGGGTGGTGGGATGGGAAGAGTGAATAGTAGCTCCAGTGGAGAGAAGATGGCACTCCAGGAATAGGGCCTTCCTCCCTCCCTCCCGGGCAGTGCTGCATCTCTCCCCAGTATAAGCAGGTCTGAGCTCTGCAGGAGAGCAACGAAAGTGAAAGTCAGGTCTGGGGGCACTGGGCTGGTGGGGAGTGGTTGGTGGGGGCGGGCTGGGGGCTGGGGGGGGGCTGGGGGGGGTGGCTGGCTGGGGGGGGGCTGGCTGGCTGGGGGGCTGGCTGGGGCTGGCTGGCTGGGGGGGGGCTGGCTGGGGGGGGCTGGCTGGGGGGGGGCTGGCTGGGGGGGGGGCTGGCTGGGGGGGGCTGGCTGGGGGGGGGGCTGGCTGGGGGGGGGCTGGCTGGGGGGGGGGCTGGCTGGGGGGGCTGGCTGGGGGGGGGCTGGCTGGGGGGGGGCTGGCTGGGGGGCTGGCTGGCTGGGGGGGGCTGGCTGGGGGGGGCTGGCTGGCTGGGGGGGGGCTGGCTGGGGGGGGCTGGCTGGTGGGGGGGGGCTGGCTGGGGGGGCTGGCTGGCTGGCTGGGGGGGGTGGCTGGGGGGGGCTGGCTGGGGGGGGGGCTGGCTGGGGGGGGGGGCTGGCTGGGGGGGGGCTGGCTGGGGGGGGAGCTGGCTGGCTGGGGGGGGCTGGCTGGGGGGGGGCTGGCTGGCTGGGGGGGGGGCTGGGGGGGGGCTGGCTGGCTGGGGGGGGCTGGCTGGCTGGGGGGGGGCTGGCTGGGGGGGGGCTGGCTGGCTGGCTGGGGGGGGCTGGCTGGGGGGGGGCTGGCTGGGGGGGGGGCTGGCTGGCTGGCTGGGGGGGGGCTGGCTGGGGGGGGCTGGCTGGGGGGGGAGCTGGCTGGGGGGGGGAGCTGGCTGGGGGGGGCTGGCTGGCTGGGGGGGGGGCTGGCTGGGGGGGGGGGCTGGCTGGGGGGGGGCTGGCTGGGGGGGGGGCTGGCTGGGGGGGGGGCTGGCTGGGGGGGCTGGCTGGGGGGGGGCTGGCTGGGGGGGGGGCTGGCTGGGGGGGGGGCTGGCTGGGGGGGGGCTGGCTGGGGGGGGGGCTGGCTGGGGGGGGGCTGGCTGGGGGGGGGCTGGCTGGGGGGGGGGGCTGGCTGGGGGGGGCTGGCTGGGGGGGGCTGGCTGGGGGGGGGCTGGCTGGGGGGGGCTGGCTGGGGGGGCTGGCTGGGGGGGTTGGCTGGCTGGGGGGGTTGGCTGGCTGGCGGGCTGGCTGGGGGGCGGGCTGGCTGGGGGGCGGGCTGGCTGGGGGGGCGGGCTGGCTGGGGGGGCGGGCTGGCTGGGGGGGCTGGCTGGGGGGCGGGCTGGCTGGGGGGGCTGGCTGGGGGGGGCTGGCTGGGGGGCTGGCTGGGGGGGGGGCTGGCTGGGGCTGGCTGGGGCTGGCTGGGGGCTGGCTGGGGCTGGGCTGGGGGTGGGCTGGCTGGGGGGGGGGCTAGCTGGGGGGGGCTGGGGGGCTGGCTGGCTGGGGGCTGGCTGGCTGGGGGCTGGCTGGCTGGGGGGGGGGCTGGGGCTGGCTGGGGGGGCTGGGGTGGGGGCTGGGGGTGGGGGCTGGGGGGGGCTGGGGGGGCTGGCTGGGGGCGGGCTGGTGGGGGGGGGCTGGCTGGGGGGCGGGCTGGTGGGGGGGGGGCTGGCTGGGGGCGGGCTGGTGGGGGGGGGCTGGGGGGGGCTGGGGGGGGGGGCTGGGGGGGGGGTGGGGGGGGGGGGGCTGGGGGGGGGGTGGCTGGGGCTGGGGGGGGGGCTGGGGGGGCTGGGGGGGCTGGGGGGGCTGGGGGGGGGGGCTGGGGGGGGGGGGGGCTGGGGGGGCTGGCTGGGGGGGGCTGGCTGGGGGGGGGCTGGCTGGGGGGGGGCTGGCTGGGGGGGGCTGGCTGGGGGGGGGGCTGGCTGGGGGGGGGCTGGCTGGGGGGGGGCTGGCTGGGGGGGGGGCTGGCTGGGGGGGCTGGTGGGGGGGGGCTGGCTGGGGGGGGGGCTGGCTGGGGGGGGCTGGCTGGGGGGGGGCTGGCTGGGGGGGGGGCTGGGGGGGGGCTGGCTGGGGGGGGCTGGGGGGGGCTGGGGGGGGGGCTGGCTGGGGTGGTGAGCTGGTGGGGGGGGGGGCTGGCTGGGGGGGGGGGGGGGCTGGGGGTGTGGGAGCTGGCTGGGGGGGCTGGCTGGGGGCTGGCTGGGGGGGGGCTGGCTGGCTGGGGGGGGGCTGGGGGGGGGCTGGGGTGTGTGAGCTGGCTGGGGGGGGGGGGCTGGCTGGGGGGGGGCTGGGGGGGGGCTGGGGTGTGGGAGCTGGCTGGGGGGGGCGGGCTGGGGGGGGGGCTGGGGGACCCTCTGGTGAAGGCCGGCGCAGGCTGTGTCCGGCCGTGAATTACCTTTGAAGTCGCACTCGGACAGCACCACGTACACCACACTGGGGTCCAGGTGCGAGAACATCTCCATCAGCCGCTCCACCAGCTTCTCTCTGCTCAGCCCGGAGCCCGAGGCGGCGGCCCCCGCGCTCTCACAGGCCGAGGCCGAGGGCCCGGGCCGCCTGGGCTCCCCTCTGGCGAGCCCCTGCCGGGCCCCGGGGGGAGCGGGAGCGGCGGGCGCTGCCCCGGGGGGCGAGGCCTGAACCCAGGGCGCAGGATTGCGTTTTTTTCTCGGCATTTCCCACCAACCGCCGCCGCCGCCACCAGCACCTCACCCCTCGCGCAGCCCAGGCGCACGCGCACTCGCCCACCTAACCGGCCGGGAGAGAAACGGCCCGCGGGAGGGGACTCACGTGACCCAACGGCCGGCGGGTGGGCGGGGTCTCCGACCACGTGATAATGGCGGGGAGCGAGTCATCGCATCGTGACGTCAGAGCTCACAACAACAACAACAACAGCAGCAACAACAACAATGTGCCCCACAGCCCTTCCCCCAACCCCCTCCCCCCACCCCCCGGGAGCGGGTCTCAGAGCGCTTCGCAGCGGTGGAGCCCGATGCCAAGCGCGGGGGGCGAGGGGTGGGGGGGGGGACTGACCGTGGGCCACGGTGAAAGGTTTTTGGGTGCAATCTGAATATGGAGGAGGCGGAGGGGGGGGGGGTTTGTCGAGGCGGACGGGTTTGAGGGAGAGAGTTCCACAGTGTCGCATAAAACTTTCAGGCACAAATATGTCGGTGAATTTGCGGATGAAAGCGGAAGCCAATTTCCGCGCAGCAACGCCCTGCAAACATCTGTGAAGTGGATGATCAGTTTTATTTGTGGGGGGGCCACCTCTCTGCCTCCACCCTCAACTCCAGGACCACTACTGTCCTGACAGAATGTCTATCAGACATCAAGTCCTGGATGAGAGCCAACTTTCTCCAGCTGAATGTCAACAAGGCCGAGGCTCTCCTGATTGGCTCCCGTCAGCCCTCCTCACCTCAGGCGCTGACAGTATCACCATCCCTGGTTGCACACTCCACCTCACTGAGCCAGTCCGGAACCTTGGGGTCTTGTTTAACCCTCAACTATCCTTTATACCCCACATCTGTGCCATGACCCGCTCTGCTTTCCCCTCCTCCACAACATCACCCGGCTCAGCCACTGTCTCACACCGCAGGCCACCGAAACCCTCATACACGCATTCATAACATCCAGGCTCAACTAAGAAAACTCATAGCTTGTCAGCCTCCCAAACTCCTCCCTCCATAGGTTTCAGATTATCCAGAACTCTGCAGCCCAAGTCCTCTCCTGCTCCAGACACCCCGACCCTATCATCCCCATCCTCGCCCGACTCCACTGGCTTCCCATCACACAGAGGATACAGTTCAAGATTCTGGTCCTCATTTTCAACGCCCTCCATGGCCTTCCTCTCCACTGCCTCTGCCACCTCTTACCAACCTAGTTCTGCTCAGTGGCTCCGGCCTGCTTCACAGTCCCCGCCTCGCCTGCTCTACCATTGGCAGGCGAGCCTTCAGCCACTCTGCCCCCACCCTCTGGAACTCCATCTTGCAGTCCCTCTGCCGCGCCCCTTCCTTGCCTCCTTCAAGTCCCTCAAGACCCTCCTCTTCAAACGTGCCTTTGGTTACCCTCCTTCCCCCCCTGCCCTCTATCATCCCTGATCCCAAACCTCAGCTCAGGTCTGAAACACTGATTGTCCAGTGCCTTGGGATGTCCTCCCGACGTGAAAGGCACTATACAAATATAATTTTGTTGTTATTTTGTTGTTGCTAGTGGAATTAATGCAAAAAATATTTTCAATTCATAAAATGTTACAGGAGAAAGGCCCAGATCTGGAAAGAGAGGCCAGCTACTCTTTTATTCCTGCAGCACATTTTCCTCACATTAGCGGTGGACAGTTTCAGACACACTTATTCCACTTGGAACCTCTTCATAAATCTGCTTGCAGTGTAGAAATATCAGGACCTGGGAGGCACCATTCCTCCTGACATATGTTCTGCTAAATAGGTTGAGGGAGGTAAGTGTTGTGATAACTGTAGACGGAACTGGGGGGGTGTTGTAAATGTGGACAGAATCTGGAGGGGGGGAATGTTGTAATTTCTGAAAGATCTCTGGGGGAGGGGGTGGGGGAGTATATAATAGCATAAAATAACAGAAAGGTGATGGGAGGCAATTCCCTTGTCCCCCTGAAATGTAGAGTCATCCCCAAACCCACTTGCTCACCCTGGTATAACAGCCACCTTTGCTTCCTCAAATCCCAACTCGGACACTCGAGTGCAGATGGTACAAAACCAGCCTCAGTTCATTCAAAAATGTAGTTCGAGCATTGCATTCCTACTGGCTCTCCCTCTCTCAGGCCAAATCTGCCTTTTTACTCCAAGGCCATTCTGGAGGCCAAAAATAACCCTAAAGTGTTGTTCTCCACCACCCACTCCTCCGAGCGCCCTCTCAAACACCCTTGATCCTTACCTTGAATGTCAAATGTGAAGAGGTCCTGGACTTCTTCATATAGCACCCCCACCCCCTCATGCAGGGTACCATCCCAGAACCACTGACAGTGGCGAAGCACAATGCCGAGCCGAGCTGTAGAGGAAGGTCTTCAGACGCGACTTGAAGATGGGGAAGGATGGGACAAGGCAGAGGGATTGAGGAAGTGTTTCAAAATTTTGGGATAGTGCTGAAAGCGTAGACACTGATGGTGCAACGGAAGCCATGAGGGACAAGCAAGAGGCCAGAGCCAGTCAAGCAGAGGCAACGGATAGTGGGTTGGGGAATAAGCAGGTCAGAAAGATAGAGAGGTGCCAGGGCATGAAAGGATTTGAAGACACGTGTCACGATCTTGAAATCGATCCATTCACTAACACAAAGCCAACCACTTCCTCAAAAATCCCACCTCGATCCCTCAAATCTACCAACCCATTTCTAACTTGCCTTTCCTTCCTAAAGTTCTAGAACACATTGTTGTAAATCAGCTTCACCCACACCTCTCCCTCCACTTTCCTTCTGAAGCTCCTCCAGTCTAGGTTCCACCCTGCTCACAGCACAGAGACAGAGTGTCAAAGTCGCTTATGACTTTGACATCCTCTCTCTCTGTGACCAGGGCTCCCTTTGCCTCCTTGTCCTCCTGGACCTCTCTGCTGCATTCAACACAGTCAATCACGCTCTCCCCTTCCACTGCCTCTCCTTCACTCATCCACCTCAATGGGACCGCACTTACCTGGTTCCAGTCCTACTTAACCAACTGCAATCACTTAATCTCCACAAACGTTTTTTTTCTCCTGTACCATAAGAACATAAAAACATGAGAAATGCTAGACGAAAAATACCAAGGTCCATCTAGTCCACCTTCTATCTTCCTAGCGGTCACATGCACATATGTCCCTAACTACCTATGTACTGCACGTCATAATGTTACTTCCTAAAAGAAAACTATCTAATCTGTGTTTGAAGGAATTAACATTTCCTACTTCAACCGTCTTCCTACAGATTTATTATTCATACCAACAAACTACAAAATAAAAATAAAAGCATTGTCACCTCTCTTCAAAATCACATTGAGTAGACTCAGGATGTATCTAACCGGGGAACTATCCAAATGCATGTGTAGACAGACAAACATCCAGCTTGCTATTTTTTATTTACATTAATGGCTACCTCTTCTGATGATCTGAATATGGAGTTTTGTGAAATGGATGTTACCAATTCAAATCTGTAAAAAGCATGTATACTGTACTGCTTTCTCATTTTTTATCTTTCAAAAAAATTGGTAAAATCTGCAGTTCTAATTTCTAAACATGAAGTGATTTTCAATACAATGTTACATTTGTATAGCGCCTTTCACGTCGGGAAGATGTCCCAAGGCACTGGACAGTCAGGGATTTGGCCCCGAGCGGGGTGGGGGGAGAGTTGGTTGGGGTAAGGGAGGCTGGAGGGCAGGGTGGGTAGGAGGGTGGTCGAAGGCAAGGTTGAAGAGGAGGGTCTTGAGACGTGTCCTGCAGGAGACAAGGGAGGGAGCGAGGCAAAGGGAATGTGGGATGGAGTTCCAAAGGATGGGGGTGGAGAGGCTGAAGGCTCGACCACCAATGGTATGACGGGCCGAGCAGGGGAAGTGGAGAAGGCCGGAACCTGCTGAGCAGAGGGAGCGGACAGGTTGATAAGAGGTTAGCAGGACACAGAGGTAGGAATAAGCAAGAGCCATGGAGGGCCTTGAAGGCTTTGTGTGGCCTCTTGATTGTGGGTCGTGGAATCCGCTCCACCATGGGCCACATGTGCTGTCAATCACAAAACAATGTATTAAGACTTTTGGGGGGAATTTCTGAGATGCTGAAGTCCTGGTGGGAGGGGGGATTTATATACTTACTGACATACTGAGGGGATAATAATTGACATGGATTCTGTTTATTATCATCACACCAGCCGAAAGTCACGAAATATGGTGACTGTTTGAAATTTGACAGTTAACCGTCACTTCCGGTGTCAGGAAATGCCTCCTTTTATGGCCGAGTGTGTGATGGTTTGATGAAGGAGCTGGTTTTATTTCCCCACCCCCCCACCTCTTTCCTCTCCTCTCGAGATGCACATTGAGCAATATATATATAAATGCAAGTTATTGTTTAATCCACCCCCTCAGCTCTGGCCCAAACCCTTGACTGTCTAGCACTTTGAGAGGAATTATCCCCCTCCACCCATTCAAGCTCAGCAAGTGATATTTCCACAATGCTCGAGACTCCCATACCAGCAGCCATTTTTTATGCAAAAAAAGTAATTCATTATCTAAGAGCAGTAGAAAAGCAAAGCAATCTAGATTCACATTAATTAGTTTCTAAAACTAGCACCAGGTTGATGCACAGGGTGACCAAAAAGTTCTGATATCATTGCAATGTCTAATAAGTCTTAACAAAATTATTTTTGACTTTTTTTCATAATAGGGTAGATATCACAACTTTTTGGTCACCCTATAGAAGTATCCCATAAGAATTCATATAGAATCTTTGCCTTCATATCCAGAGGAATAAAACACAACAGTAAAGAGGTAATGCTAAATTTGTATAAAACCTTAGTTCAACTACAATTCTAAAACTGTGCGCAGTTCTGGTTGCCATAATACAAGGATCATATTGGAGAGAGTACAATGGAGAGAGTGTGCAATATAATTTTTAGGATGTTACCCAGGATACCAGCATACCAGAATTAGGAAATTGGTTCAATACAATTACCATTGGGCACCCTAATTCAGGGAGGGGCTCAATGCCCATAAAAGAACAGGCGCCACGTGCTTGCGGTCGCTATTTTTCTACCTGATGGCAACAAAGGTACGTGCTCTGACTATTGATGAATAGTAGTCAGAGGTTGGTTCTTCGTGCGCTTTACATTAAGTTCATTACAAGTGGCTGCTAGCATGTGTAGTTTAAGTGTGATTAATGTTTGTTATCTCATAGTTGTATTTGTTGGTATTTATCATGTCGTTTAAGATTTTAATGCTGAGGGTTGCGGATTTCATCGAAGTTACAATGAAAACTCAAGCTTTCTGCATAAATCAAAGAAGAAGGGAATACACAAACCGGTTCAGCCTAGGTCACAGAGGTGTAAAATAAATCTCTGATGACTGAAGCTTCCCAATTTCCTTTAATTTAAATAGAAATTTGTAATACCTGTCATCATGGAAGAACTCATTAGTCAACTTACACCTAGTTATAGAAACTTGCATTAATTAGTGAGGATTATAAAATAATAATAATCCTTGCATTTGATATAGCGCTTTTCACGTCTTCTAGACTTCTCAAAGTGCTTCACAGAATGTACTGTAATGTGAATTGACTGTATATTTGTGGGCGAAGTGCAGTAGCCAATTGCACACAGCAGCGTCCCACAAACACTCGTGGATTGAAGTGACCAATTTATTATTGTTTTTTTCTTGAGGGATGATCAGGCATGCGGAGTAAGGAAACTTGCCCAAGGTTTAGACCTGCTGGGAATCAAACCCAAGTCGCTCACTTGAGAGGTGAGTGCTGTAACCACTGAGCTACAGGAATCCACAATGGATACAGATCCATTGGATCCGCAGTACAAGGCACTGCTAATGATGGACCAGTCAACCTGGCTTGTCAGCAGGATTTGGGAGGGTCGATCCACTGGGTGCACTTGGCTGCTGGGAATCGAACCCAGGTCTCTCGCTTGCAAGGTGAGTGCTCTAACCACCGAGCTGCAGAACTCCACAGGATTAAACACGGAGGCCACGCAGTTCACTCTGTGAGGGAGAGCGAACCATATCGTGGGTGATACAACTGTCTCAACCAATAGCACAATCAAAGGGGTACATTTTGAGACGTACCGGAAAGAGGGAAGGGAGGGAGCATATTTAGGGACCTGTGAATGGATTTCTAGAGAAATATATAGTTGTTAGACATAGATGGCTATTGCGGGAGTACATTACAAACAAATGAATCACCTGTTAGCACAATATCTCGACAATTTGTCCCGTTTATGCACCATGCTAGTTATTCATGAGAATTAACAGCAAGCAGAGTGTCAAGCCCCGCTGAACTGAAAAATCAATATTTACTTTTTGGCACTTATGAAATGTTTTGCGATCTTTTTTGATTGCTTGAGGCTTCCGGTCTGTAGACAAACGTTTCGAGTTTTAGCCAATGCTTCATAGCTTTCATTTAGGTTGGACAGTAAGCTCGGGCTGATACGTTTCGATGTAGATTAATTCTTGTTCTCGTAACACAAGATATGCATTGTTTCAAGCCCACGGGAAGTCTTAATCTTTTCAATGGGAAGGTACACCTTCACCCTGTAGGGGCGCTGTCGGCAGGTGCTGTGTGCACCTTCAGCCTATAATAATAATCCTTGCATTTGATACAGCGCCTTATCACGTCTTCTCGACGTCCCAAAGCGCTTCACGGAATAGACTGTAAAGTGAAGCGACCGTATATTTGTGGGCGAAACGCGGCGGCCAATATGCGCAGAGCAGTGCCCCACAAACAGTCAGTGGATTGAAGTGACCGATTTATTATTTTTTTTAAGAGATTATTACCCCCGGAAAGCGATCCGCCAACCGACTAACAACCGGATTCCTACTCACTGCTACGTGAACAGGGGCGCGTGGAGTAAGGCAATTGCCCAGTGTGTCGCCCTGCCCTGTAGGGGCGCTGTTGGCGGGGACGGTCCCCCCGGGCTCCTGTGGTGGGCTCTGTGCGTGTCCCTCATCTTGTTGGGGGGGGCCATCGGCGTGTGCTGTGTAACCCTCGCCCTGTAGGGGCGCTGTTGGTGCTCTCCATCCTGTTGGAGCCGCTCGGCCCGTAGGGGCGCTGTTTGGCGGGCGCTGTGTGTGTGTGTGTGCCCTCGGCCGGTAGGGGCGCTGTAGGCGGTGACTGGCGCTGTGGCCGCTCTGTCTGTTGTTCCCGGCGCTGCTGTCGCCCGCGCTCTGTGCTGCCGCCCGCGCTCGCTCCGGACCCTGAGAAAGCGCCGCTTTACCGGGACCCTGTGACAGACGTCCGGCGGGATTCATGAGGTGGGAGACGGCGGCGGCGCCGCGCGGGGCCTCCTGACGGCCTCTCCGGGTGGCGGGAGGGAGTGAGTGTGTGTGTGAGCGGGGAGAGCCGAGGCCAGGCCGCTGGTCTGCACCGTGTGTGTGTGTGTGTGTGTGTGTGTTTGTGTTGGTGAAGCCGCCGCGGGGACGAAGTTGTGGAAAAGAAACCAGTCAAAGTGAAGCGAGTGAGTGGCGTCGGTTTGCTGGTCTCCCGGGAGGAGCCTCTGTGTGTGTGTGTGTGCGGGGGGGGGGGGGTTGGTAGCCCCGGGACAGGGGGGAGCGGGGGGGGTTGGCAGCCCCGGGACAGGGGGGGGGGGGAGTTGGGGCTGAGCTCAGCTGCCGCCCCGCTGTAAAAAGTTGTGGACCCGGCGCCGAGGTGTTGTCGGTGTCCGGGGCTGCCGGGCGAGGCCTAGGCTGTTAGGCCCGAGCAAAGCCCGGAGGAGTGGGCGCTCGCGGAGCGGCGCCGAAGAAGTTTTTGTTGCCGCCGGGGCTCGGGCCGGGGGGCCGGGGCCGGGGCTCGGGGGCCGGGGCTCGGGGGGCCGGGGCTCGGGGCTCGGGGGCCCGGGGCTCTGGGCTCGGGCTCTCGGCGGCGGATGGCGGGAGGCTTTTGGGAGGGGAGGAGTTTTTGGCCGCTTTTTATTTTTATTTTTTTTCGCTCTCTAACCCCCCCCTCCCCCGCGGGGGGGCAGAAAGTGAATGGAAGCGGCATGTTCCCGGCCCTCCCTCACTCACTCCCTCACTCACTCCTTCCCTCACTCCCTCACTCACTTACGCTCGGCTTTTCGCTCCTTTTCCCAGGTTCTCGGGGGGGGGGGGAGTTGCTGCCTTCCCTTCCCCCTCCCAAACAACCTGGGGAGGGGGGGGGTGGGTGGAAAAATTTCCCTCTCCCACCCTCCTCTCCCACCACCCGCGGCTTCGCGGGATAGAGACGGGTATTTTTTTAAAAAAATCAAATGAAAAAGAGTGAAATGGGGGGGAGAGGGAAGAGAGGAGGGGGGAGAGAGGAGGGGGAGAGAGGGAGGGGAGGGGGAGAGAGGAGGGGAGGAGAGGGAGGGGGAGAGAGGAGGGGGAGAGGAGAGGGGAGGGGGAGAGGAGAGGAGGGGGGAGAGAGGAGAGGGAGAGGGGAGAGAAGAGAGGAAGGGGAGAGAGGAGAGGGAGAGGGGAGAGAAGAGAGGAAGGGGGAGAGAGGAGGGGGGAGAGAGGAGAGAGGGGGAGAGAGGAGGGGAGAGGGAGAGGGAGAGGGAGAGGGGAGGGAGAGGGGAGGGGGAGAGGGAGGAGGAGAGGAGAGGGAGAGGGAAGGGAGAGAGGGGGAGAGGAGAGAGGAGGGGGAGAGGAGGGGAGAGGGGAGAGGAGGGGGAGAGAGGAGGGGAAGGGGGAGAGGGGGGAAGGGGAAGGGGGGGGGGAGAGCCCCCGAGTAACAAACAGCATGAACTTGTGCCCCACCAGCAGAGGCCGGTAGGGATCCGCAGACTGGGACCAGAGACTTGTTCGCAGCCCAGGAATGGCCTTCCCGCAGCCCAAACCCGCAGACACGAAGATCATCACCTACCCTCCCGGTGTCAAAGAGATTACTGACAAAATCTCCAACGATGAGTTGGTTAAAAGGCTCAAGGTACGGGTTTGGAGATTTTTTTGAAATATATTTTCTTCTTCTTCTCTCCTCTCTCTCTCTCTCTCTCTCTCTTCATTTTATTTTATTTTTAATTTTTTTTTGCGCGCAATTGCAATTGCGGTTCATTTTTTTTTAAAAGAGAGAGAGAGAGGGAGAGAGGGAGGAAAAAAAAGCACCGTTTTCTTCAGTGCTTTCGCGAACTCGTACTTCGCTCGGTTTGGAGGGACTGTGTGTGTGTGGGTGGGTGTGTGTGTGGGGGTGGATGCGGGGGGGTGTGGGGGGTGTGAGGGTGTCGGGGGGGTGTGGGTGTGTGGGGGGGTTGTGTGTGGGTGTGTGGGGGGGTTGTTTGTGGGTGTGTGTGGGTGGGTGTGTGTGTGGGGGGATGTGTGAGGGTGTGGGGGGGTGTGGGTGTGTGGGGGGGTTGTGTGTGGGTGTGTGTGGGTGTGTGTGGGGGGTTGTGTGTGGGTGTGTGTGTGGGGGGGGTGTGTGTGGGGGGTGTGGATGTGGGGGGGGGTGTGGGTAGGTGGAGGGGTGTGGGGGTGTGGTGTGTGTGTGTGTGGGGGGGGTTGTGTGTGGGTGTGTGTGGGTGTGTGTGGGGGGTTGTGTGTGGGTGTGTGTGGGTGGGGGTGTGTGTGGGGGGTGTGGATGTGGGGGGGGGTGTGGGTAGGTGGAGGGGTGTGGGGGTGTGGTGTGTGTGTGTGTGGGGGGGGGTTGTGTGGGTGGTGTGTGGGGGGTTGTGTGTGGGTGTGTGTGGGTGGGGGGGTGTGTGGGGGGATGTGTGAGGGTGTGGGGGGGGGTGTGGATGTGGGGGGGTGTGGGTAGGTGTGGGGGTGTGGTGTGTGTGTGTGTGGGGGGATGTGTGTGTGTGTGGGTGGGGTGTGTGGGGGGGGGTCTGTGTGTGTGTGTGGGGGGGGGGGGTGAGGTTTGCCTGCCCGTGTTTGGGCTCTGAAGGTTTATCTTGATTTGAGGGCAATTGGACGATGCCGGTTCTTGTCGAGCGTTTTAAATGCGTAGTGTCTGCTCCACACTGTACGGTTGACAGCTCGTCTCACACGTTGTTGTTGTTGTTTCCCCCCCCCCCCCCACCTTTGCTGTGCACCTGATACAGAATAGTTAAAATAGTTGGTAAGGGGGTGGGGGGGGAAAGATTGGCTAATGAAGCGAGGTGACCTTTTGAAACTGTGATCTTTGCTCAATTTCAATCTGTTACCGTGTGGGGAGATAGTTCCTCCCTCCACAGGTTCGTGGTGGGTGGGAGTGGGAGTGAAGTGGCACATCGCTCCCTTTGGGGTGGTTGGCAGTCTATTTTGGATTTGAATTTTGTTCCATTTCCCACTTAAAACGACCTCGAAAGGAACTGAAATGTAATGGCATTGATACTGCACTTGGTAGGATGCTTTCTGTATTCCCCTTAGAGGATGTGATATCAGAAGGTTCCTGTCGTTCTTTGGGATATTCATTTTGCTACATCTAATTTGTCACATCAGTCCAGTGAAGCTTTCTTTATTTCAGACGGCATTTACATTACAGATAATAAGCATTGTTGAAATTAATCTGCTTTCAGGAAGTTCCTTTAAATGTAATTTTATGAATTTTTTGGTCAGCCGGGTGTCACCAATCACCATGCTTAAGAGTATCCAAACGGAATAGTTTCATGCATCCCACCAATACATGGAAATTCCTGAGATATTTATTGGAATGGAATTTCCCCTCTCTCTCTGGAGGAACACATCCTGCGAACCTAATTCCAGAGAGTATGAGGTGCAAGTTAGCAAGAGTCAAGGTTGGGGGGTATCAGTGTTTGTGTTGGGGTACCACTGGAGTCTTAACCAGCTAAAACTGCATAGCTTGCTATTGATAGCATTGTCTGGCAGGCTTTCCTGCTGCTTGTCCAGCTAGGACTACCCTATCCATTAGGGCTTTGGCTTGCAGGTTAACAGGAGCTGGGTGTGAAGAATCCCAGCCCACGTTTGACTCTCGTGCCCTTCGAAGGCCTTCCAATGAGCCATGGTAGCTGGGCTGTCATCAGCAGTACCCCGGTCAATAAATACATTATCTCAGTGTCTGTCTAGAACTCCGTGAAATGTTCTGTTTTGTACTTAAAACCCGCCTTTAGTATATAAAATAGTTAAAACATTGTTTTATTGTAACTAAATAACAGGTAGTTCTGTCGCTCAGAGACTTGGGTTCGCTTCCCGGAAGGGCAAAACCTTGGCAAGTTTCCTTACTCCACGTGCCTAATGATAAAAGAAAAAAAACTAATAAATTGGTCACTTCAATCCACGACTGTTTGTGGGACACTGCTGTGCGCAATTGGCTCCTGCGTTTCGCCCATAAATATAAGCCAATTCACTTTACAATATATTCTGTGAAGCGCTTTTAGACGTCCAGACGATGTAAAAAGCGCTGTATCAAATGCAAGGATTATTATTATTTTATTATAGGTATTCAAACAGCACGCAACCCTTGGTCTTGTATTTTGAAAAAGTTGGTCTTGAAAAAGTTGAGAAGTTTGTGACCCGGGACCCTCTTTGCTGTTGGCTGAAGAAGGCAGCACAGAGCTGAGTGACTCCAGCAGTGTATATCAATAATAGAGATGGAAAAAATAGAGTTTGAGCGAAGAGTTTGGGTCCCTCAAAATATATGATGGCGTGTTTCAGTTAACTGTGGTCTTATTGAATGACCGCAGAGTCCAGTGACAGTTAAATGTCTAATGACCACAGACCCCCTACTGGCAGTGTCCCGTGAAGGCTGTGTCTAATTTAGAGCTTTTACAATTGGCAAATCTTTTAATTGGTTACCCATTCTCTTTCTCCTGCCCCGATTGTTGGCGATTCCATTGATTTTTTTTTTGGTGGTCTGCAGAATGATTGAGGAAATTGCTAATCTATTTTCAGGGTGTGGATTCTGAAAACCCAAGCAGCTTGGGGAATGTCACAAACAATTTAGTTAACTTTAGTTCTCTGATGCTTAGCAATTAAAGAATCATAAAAGCTCTCGTCATATTTAGTTTTGGAGTTTGGGTCCATTAGTTAGAAACATCAGTATGCATTTTAAACATCATAAATGTAATGTTTTTTATTTAAAGGAGTGCGAGAAGTGCAATGTTTCAGAAATGTTTTGAAAATTGGGTGTTTTCTTCAGCTCTTTTGACTCGCATTTGTCCCTTAACTAAGACAGCCTTCCTTCAATTCTCCACATTGCCTGCCACTTCCTCGATCTCACAGAAAATGCTACCTAATGCCCTCCACAGGCTGCAGATAATCCAGATCTCTGCAGCCCGTGTCCTCTCCCGCACCTAACTCCGTGACCCCATCTCCCCCACTCTCGCCCGACTCCATTGGCTCCCTATCCTTCAGAAGATCCAGTTCAAGATCCTGGTCTCACCTACAAAGCCCTCCACAGCCTCGCCCCACCCTTCCTCTGCAACCTCCTAACACCCTACCAACCCGCACGCTCCCTCCGCTCAGCCGGCTCCGGCCTTCTCCACATCCCCTGACCCACCCGCCCCACCATTGGCGGGAGAGCTTTCAGCCACTCTGCCCCCAACCTCTGGAATTCCATCCCCCAATCACTCTGCCTCACCCCCTCCTCAGCCTCCTTCAAGTCCCTCTTCAAGACCCTCCTCTTCGACCATGCTATCGGCCACCCCCCCTTCCCCTCCCCTCCCATCTCCCCCCCCTGATCCCAGCTCGGGTCTGAAATGTTATATACTGTCCAGTGCCTTGGGACGTCCTTTCAACGTGAAAAGCGCTATACAAATGTAATCTTATTGTTGTTATCTGTACTTTTGTTACTTTCTGTCTTCACGTTTCTAATGCACTCTTTGCTGGTACCCCAGTTCCATCACAAGATCTCTGCCACCTGCATTCTCACCCATACCTGACTCTGCACACCATCACCCCAATCCTCTCCAGGCATCGCTAACTCCCTGTCACCTATATCAACTTCAGTGTCCCCACCCTCATGTATAAATCCCTTCACACCCCAGTATGTTGCTTTCGTACTCCCCTGTTTGGTCTGCTGTGTGTCCCTCATTTCCTCTGCAGCACCATCAGACCTCTGGAATTCTTTGCCTCCATCCCGCCACTTCTAGAGCTCCTTGCCTCCAACCTCCACTTTGCCCCTCTTTGTCTTTCGTTAAATCCTACCCCCTTGCCTACACCTATAAGTTACCTGCCCTTTCTCCCTTGCTAGGTGCCCAATCCAGCCACTGTTAAGGACTCAGCCAGTATTCTACACAAGTCCTTGTTCTGTATGATTTATTCATATCATTTTGGCAACTTAAAATGTTCACGATTCTTTTGAGATTTACAAAGTGAAATGGTCTGTTGAAAAAGAATTACGCAAGTATTTTTTATTGTCCAATGGCAATAACATGCATTGTTTAATCTTAATTAATATCTGCAGCTCTGTCAAAATAAATATTATAATTGAGAATCTCAGAAGAAATGCAGTAGTAACCAGTGGAAGATGGGCCTTATTTTGTAAGAATTGCGTTGAAAAGAGGAGGTGGTGGAATGCTTTGTGAGGGAAAACATATTTATTTATGCCAGATAAATATCTATTGTCGAGTATAAACATCTTATGATGTTATGTATTACAATGTAATTTAAGAATTTAAATACACTGATTTTTTTAAGTATATTCTTGAAACATCCATAACCATCAGCTAACCAGTTCCACTTGGAATAAGTAATATGTGATGGATACTGAAAGAAAACTACAATTTTTTAAAATCTAGATTAGTGACTGACGCCTGTAGAGTAGTGTACCTCTCAGTTTAAAAAATTTAGCAAAAGTAAGTTAGGCAGTGCTATTCTTGAACTTTAACAGAGTGGATCGTATTGAGTTCCACATTCTTGATGCCATGGGAAACTGCGATCATTTTTACTTTCAACAGTTTGTGGGGTTAAGTTGCTTTACAACTACAATTTGCCTGTCCAGTCTCTGGGGTTTAAAAAAAAACCTGATCGACATCTATGCTGCTTAATAACAGC